CAACAACAAGTGGGACACAATCGTGAAGTGGAATGAAATTTATTGGATAATTTAAACTTTTTTAACAAATAAAAAACTGAAAAGTGGGGCGTGCAATATTATTCGGCCCCTTTACTTTCAGGGCAGCAAACTCACTCCAGAAGTTCAGTGAGGATCTTTGAATGATCCAATGTTGTCCTAAATGACTGATGGTGATGAATAGAATGCACCTGTGTGTAATCAAGTCTCCGTATAAATGCACCTGCTCTTTGATAGTCTCAGGGTTCTGTTTAAAGCGCAGAGAGAACCATGAAGACAAAGGAACACACCAGGCAGGTCCGAGATACTGTTGTGGAGAAGTTTAAAGCCGGATTTGGATACGAAAAGATTTCCCAAGCTTTAAACATCTCAAGGAGCACTGTGCAAGCAATTATATTGAAATAGAAGGAGTATCAGACCATTGCAAATCTACCAAGACCCGGCCGTCCCTCCAAACTTTCATCTCAAACAAGGAGAAGACTGATCAGAGATGCAGCCAAGAGGCCCGTGATCACTCTAGATGAACTGCAGATAACTACAGCTGAGGTGGGGATGGTGTGTTCAGGGTGATGAGCTGTGTTGCTTTTATGCCAAACATATTGTTTTGCATTGTGGCCAAAAAGTTTGATTTTGGTTTCATCTGACCAGAGCACCTTCTTCCACATGTTTGGTGTGTCTCCCAGGTGGCTTGTGGCAAACTTTAAGAGACTTTTTATGGATATCTTTGAGAAATGGCCACTCTTCCATAAAGGCCAGATTTGTGCAGTGCACGACTGATTGTTGTCCTATGGACAGACTCTCCCACCTCAGCTGTAGTTATCTGCAGTTCATCCAGACTGATCATGGGCCTCTTGGTTGCATCTCTGATCAGTCTTCTCCTTGTTTGAGATGAAAGTTTGGAGGGACGGCCGGGTCTTGGTAGATTTGCAGTGGTCTGATACTCCTTTAATTTAAATATAACTGCTTGCACAGTGCTCCTTGAGATGTTTAAAGCTTGGGAAATCTTTTTGTATCCAAATCCGGCTTTAAACTTCTCCACAACAGTATCTCGGACCTGCCTGGTGTTTTCCTTTGTCTTCATGGTTCTCTCTGCGCTTTAAACAGAACCCTGAGACTATCAAAGAGCAGGTGCATTTATACGGAGACTTGATTACACACAGGTGCCTTTTATTTATCATTTGTCATTTAGGACAACATTGGATCATTCAAAGATCCTCACTGAACTTCTGGACTGAGTTTGCTGCACTGAAAGTAAAGGGGCCAAATAATATTGCACGCCCCACTTTTCAGTTTTTTATTTGTTAAAAAAGTTTAAATTATCCAATAAATTTCGTTCCACTTCACGATTGTGTCCCACTTGTTGTTGATTCATGACAAAAAATAAATTGTTTATATCTTTATGTTTGAAGACTGAAATGTGGCAAAATGTTGAAAGGTTCAAGGGGGCCGAATACTTTCGCAAGGCACTGTAAGAGCGCGTACATCGACCGATTTCAACTGATCATCTCCTCTCAGTTCCCAAAAGTCGCCTTGCAACTTGTCTCCAGTTTCTCTGTCGATGTACGCTAGGCTTAACTTTGCTTCTGTCTGGTTGCCCTGGCTGACCTACTGCCCACCAATCCTGTTCTAGATTGAGTTCAGCACCGCCCGCCTAATTAGCATACGGCAACACAGAAATACATAAATAAATAAATGAAGAAATGTAGAAATACATAAATAAATAAATGAAGAAATGTAGAAATACATAAATAAATAAATGAAGAAATGTAGAAATACATAAATAAATGAAGAAATGTAGAAATACATAAATAAATAAATGAAGAAATGTAGCAACACAGAAATACATAAATAAATAAATGAAGAAATGTAGAAATACATAAATAAATAAATGAAGAAATGTAGAAATACATAAATAAATATATGCAATAAATGGATAAATAAATAAAGGAAAAAATGTAGATTTTGATAAATAACCTAAATAAAAGTATATTTATTTGATTTCATAGTAATATTTAACACATCAATGTAAATATTTAGTTTTTATTGTCCAAAATGAATGTATTTATTAATATATTCCTATATTTATTTATTTATTTATACTTTAGTCATTTTTGGTCCTCCATACAGGGGGCGCTGTGTCACCCCTATGATAAACAGGGCAGTGTGTGTGGTCAACAATACTCCAACAGAAAGATCCAGAGAAAACTGCCCTCTGAGGTTTCTTTTTTTAATATGTATTCAAATGTTTATTGCTCGTTTTAAGACATGACAAATTATAATGAAATCTGAAAACCAAACAAACTGTAGAAGTGTTAATTATTATAATAAGTAAAAAAGGAACAAACGAAAAAACATGACGAGACACGACAAAATAAACCCCTTTTGAGACTTTGTTGTAGTTTCTCTGGTCTCTCTCTCTGCTCTCTGCCCTGTCTCTCTCTCTCTCTGCTCTCTCTCTGCTCTCTCTCTCTGCCTGCTCTCTCTCTGCTCTCTCACTCTCTCTGCTCTCTCTCTCTCTGCTCTCTGCCCTGTCTCTCCCTCTGCGCTCTCACTCTCTCTGCTCTCGCTCTCCCTCTGCTCTCTCTGCTCTCCCTCTGCTCTCTCTCTCTCTGCTCTCTCTCTCTCGGCTCACTCTCTCTGCTCTCCCTCTGCTCTGTCTGCTCTCTCTGCTCTCTCTCTCTCTGCTCTCTCTCTGCTCTCTCTCTCTCTGCTCTCTCTCTCTCCTCTCTCCTCTCTCTCACTCTCTCTGCTCTCTCTCTGCTCTCTCTCTCTCTGCTCTCTCTCTCTCCTCTCTGCTCTCTCTCTGCTCACTCTCTGCTCTCTATCTGCTCTCTCTCTCCTCTCTCTCTCTCTCTCTGCTCTCTCTCTGCTCTCTCTCTCTCTGCTCTCTCTCACACTGTGCTGTGTCTGTGCAGATCTGTCTCGGTCTGAAGCCCAGGAGCAGAAACGTTCCCACGACAACAAAAAGAAAGTGGACGTCATTGACCTGACTCTGGACAGTTCGTCTGAAGAAGAGGAGGAGCCGCCGATGAAGAGGCCGTGTCCGTCTCTGTCGCCCGTGTCGCCGCCCGGCAACAACAACATCATTAACAAAGGGTTTGTCTCCTGCTTTTTCTGTTGTTTTTCTGCCATTTTTATCAAGACAAGTCCTGGCCTGGATTTAGCCATCTGTAAATCTGGTCCATGATCATCTCCTACATGTACGTCTGGTCTTACCATGTGTGAAGTCTGGACCATGGAGAATTTGATAGTAAAATAATCTGTTCTGGTTCAATCCAAATATCAAGAAACTGAAGCAGGAGAAAGAGGAATGTTTAGTAAATGTCATTGAAGCCAAGATGTTGTGGCTCTACTCCCCACGGGCTCCATTAGCGGCAAAGGAGAGGCTAAAGCTAGGCTAAATGCTAAAGTTAGGCTAAATGCTAAAGCTAGGCTGCAAAAGGAGTTAACCCCTCCCACCTGTTAACGGAGTCAATGGAGCAAATCCAGACCTTAGTATGAATGAAATTAGTACTATGGTGTGGTACGACCGGACTATGGCTACATTGGATTTTAGTTGAACTCACATGTGCAATTATAGTTTATTATTTTATCTATTATTGTATTATCTATTCTGTGATGTGGAACTATGACATTGAACGTTTATCTGTGTGGAGCAAGTTTCCAATCTTCTCAATGTTTATTATATTTGTGGAATCTCAGAGTAGTTGAGCTTTTTCATTCTAAATTCCAAATTGTATGAATGACATTGAACCAATAAGAGTGACGTATCCTAGTAGACCCTCTTGCATAGTTATTCCAATGTGGTTTTACTGCAAATGCCAGATCCCTGAGCCTGGATGTCTTTGTTAATCCTTTCTCTCGACTCTCTGCAGAGTTCTGAACCTGCACCAGAGCCCCCCTGTGACCAGAGCTCCCAGCAGGCCCCCCGTGGAGACCAGCTACATCCCGCCCCCTCCCCCACTCATCCAGGACTATCGCCACTATTACCACGCTGCCAACGACCTGCCAGGTGAGACTCGGGCTGGAGCGGGCCTTTAGCGCCGACTGGGGCCGGAACATTACCTGCTGTAACATCATAAAGTCTGGTCTAACGTCGGTCTCACGTCGGTCTAACGTCGGTCTAACGTCGGTCTCACGTCGGTCTCACGTCGGTCTCACATTGGTCTCACGTCGGTCTCACGTCGGTCTCACGTCGGTCTCACGTCGGTCTCACGTCGGTCTCACATCGGGGCGGGGCTAACCACACCTTGAAATGGAGCTTCCTGGATAGATAGAAAGATAGATAGATACTTTATTGATCCTGTAGGAGACATGCAGGCGTCCAGTAGCAGCAAAAACACATCCATCCAAACAAACAAAACAAATACATAGATCATTCTAATAATCTAACAATAGTAATAAATATTAAAATACAACAGTCTTTCAGGTCTCAGCAGCAGACGTGGAGCAGCCTCTTTGTTTGGACCATTTTCTCTGCTCTGGTTTGGACCAGTGTAAAACCATGAATCCTCTCTGCTCTGGTCTGGACCAGTGTAAAACCATGAATCCTCTCTGCTCTGGTCTGGACCAGTGTAAAACCATGAATCCTCTCTGCTCTGGTCTGGACCAGTGTAAAACCATGAATCCTCTCTGCTCTGGTCTGGACCAGTGTAAAACCATGAATCCTCTCTGCTCTGGTCTGGACCAGTGTAAAACCATGAATCCTCTCTGCTCTGGTCTGGACCAGTGTAAAACCATGAACACTGATCTGCAGCAAGATCTTTGGTAGAATAAAGTAATAAAAATAACAATTGTAAAACACAAAACAAACTGTTTCAGACTCGCTGCTGTTTCCAGAACATTCCAAAGTAAAGAGGTTGACAAATGTAGATGTAACAGTAGAGAAAGAAGGCACAGGACAATAGTAATGTGTTATTTATTGTTATTTACTTTCTTAGAAATTCAACCATTTACTGAATTTAGTTCACGTCGTTTCACTGGAGTCAGTAAAGTGAGGTCTTATTTCAAAGAGTTGGATTTGGATCTGCCCTTTGCCTCAGCTCTCTCTGTAGAGCCACAAGGGGAGGGGGGTCCATTCCTCAGCTCTCTTCAGAACCTGAGGGGGAGGGCCTGAGGGGGAGGGCCTGAGGGGGAGGGCCTGAGGGGGAGGGCCTGAGGACGAGGGCCTGAGGAGGAGGGCCTGAGGGGGAGGGCCTGAGGGGGAGGGCCTGAGGGGGAGGGCCTGAGGGGGAGGGGGAGAGGGGCTGAGGGGGAGGGCCTGAGGGGGAGGGCCTGAGGGGGAGATTCTGGTATTTGTCGACATTTAACCTGAAACACTGAGGAGGTTGATGCAGTAAATCTGATCTGTTCTTTTCTTTTCACAGAATTGAATTTCTTCTCCTTCCTTCAAGGTGACAATCAGGTGTGTTCCAGTCACTGCACAATGACACTTTCTATACAGCGACCTGGCCTCACACACGTCTGTCCTTATGTGTTTTATTCCTCTTCTCGTCTCTTCCATGTTTTATAAAGTCTTAAAAGTCTCTGACGTTAAAGTCAGATGGATCCATCCATCCATCCATCCATTTTCTACCCTTTAATCCATTTCTGGGTCAGGGGGGTGGCAGTCAGAGATGCCACCCAAGTCTCATAGCACCAACCCCTCACTGACCCTCTGCAGGTGGTGAGTCCACAGGAGGCTGCTCTCTGAGTGTGAGCATAGCCTTGATCTTTCAGTGGGGGCTTTGGGCAAAGTGGGGTTAAGTGTCTTGCCCAAGGACACAACGACAGCAGTCATCAGTGGGAGTCGGTGGAGAAGGTGCAGAGGTGGGAATTGAACCCACGACCTTCTGGCCTTAAGGCCAATGCTCTACCAACTGAGCTACTGTCGCCCCAGTCGGTGGGGCGACACAGTCAGATGGATGTTCTCGTTTAATCCTCGAGCTTTGATTTGACTTTAGTGTAGTTAGTTTAGTGCTAACCAGTAACAAAAGGGCCGTTTCCACGAGCCCGACTCTACTCGACTCGACTCTCCTCGGTTTGCGGACGTTTCCACCGGCTCGCTTTAGCCGTGACCCGTTACTTTTTTGGTAACGGCTTTAGACCTGGCTCTATTCGGGCCGAGCAGATACTGTTACCCCAGCAACGTCTGCGAACGCTGGTGTGTCCCACTCAGCAAAAAGCAGACGCCTTTTCTCTGGCATCGCTAACATTTATAATAAATACATAAATATAACATTCATAATGAAGATGCTTTCAATTAATTAGCTGTAAACCATTTATGTTTTAACTTCACACGGCTCCTCCCCTGCCAAACTTCTCTCTGCTCTCTCCTCCGCAAACCACCACAATGAGGAAAAGGGAATATTCACTCAATCTATTTTGAATGTTACAGAATATTAATATAGGCTAAGCACGCCTAACATCTGTAGCCTGTGTAATTACAATAGACTGTAAATATTAAAGTAATTACGCACCTGCTTAGAACAGTATGCGGCAAATTTGCTAGCAAACTACAAGGGGTAGTTGGAATTGAGGTTTCAAAGAATATGGTTCAAACGCACGCACACGCACTCAAGCACACACACACACACACACACACACACACACACACACACACACACACAGGCCCTCATTTAGGAAACTTGCGTAGAAAAAGGTGTACATTTTGGGTGTATATTCCATTTACACAAGATCCAACGTCGGATTTATGAACGTGTGAGATCCGCCCAGATCTGAGCGTACGCAGCTGCGGCTGTTCAGAAATGCCGCGGTTGAAAACGAACGTATTTATGAAAGTCACGTCTAGAATTATGCAGCAATCGCCTGTTTCCCGCCCCGTCTTTGCGACAGGTCAGCAGGAAGCCGGCCAAAAAGACTAAAAATAAATATACGATATTCAGCTGCGTTTTGAACAAATTTGCAAAAATATTTTGATACATTATAAAAATCTCTCTTGAATTGTAGAAGTGAATAAATATAGATTGAATTAATGAATGAATTCATAGATATTACGCAGCGGTGACTCACATCAGCGTATAGATTTACACCACCTCCAGACCTGGTGTATATTTTGTGCGTATTGTACGCTCACGTCCAGATTGATAAATGCGTACACCTCATTTACCCTGATTTGGCCGTACACAGTTTCATACGTGAGGCCCACAGTGTGTCTCACACAGGCCTGGACTTTACCTCATCAGTGCGAGGCGAGCCAGGCCTGACCCTCCTCCTCTGGGACCTACGGCCCGGGCCTCTGGCTCCTCTACCTTTCTTAAAACTAAAATTAAAAAGGCTACTCCGTTGTGAATGTCAATCTTTAAGAGGAGGAATATCTGGTTGTTCTCGGGGAACGAGCTTCGCGCATGGGTTTTGCGATGTTTGATTTGATCATGCAGATTATAGGACAAAATTGTTCAGCCAATAAACAGAACTATATTTGAAGCAACGAACCTGATGACGCTCAGGCGGTTACATTTTCTAAAAACATTAGAACGCAACATTTTAGCAATAATGTGTGTATAGAAATAACAATATTTAAATTATGTCTTTTAATAAAAAAGGCAAATGACTTGAGAGGCGAGGAACAAATTTGAGTAGGCCAAGATAAAAACTGTTAAAAACTACCCAGGCCTATACCTGGCGCCGCGGCCGGCTTAGGCCTGTGATGCCCACAGCGTCATCAGTCTACGCGCCTCTGTGTGGATCACATCTCTCTCTTTGGGCTGGAGCTATGGCTGGAGCTACGGCTGGAGCTAAGGCTGGAGCTACGGCTGGAGCTATGGCTGGAGCTACGGCTGGAGCTACGGCTGGAGCTACGGCTGGAGCTACGGCTGGAGCTACGGCTGGAGCTATGGCTGGAGCATTTTGAGGGTTTTAAAGCAGGAGTCAGGAAGGTGGCGATCCTACGGGTGTTTGTGATTTTTTGGTTTAACAGCCTCCCTGTTAAACTTAATTATATATATAATATATATAATTATATATATAATTATATATATAATTATATAATTATATATATATATATATATATTATATATATATATATATATATATATATATATATATATATATATATATATTTATAATTATTATAATAATAATTATTTAATTAATTATATTAATTATTAATAATTAATAATAATTAATTATATATTATAATTATAATTTATTATAATAATAATATATTAATTAATTATTATATTAATAATTAATAATTAATAATAATTAATTATATATTATAATTATAATTTATTATAATAATAATTATAATTATATAATTAATTATATTAATAATTAATAATTAATAATAATTAATTATATATTATAATTATAATTTATTATAATATATATATAATTATATATATAATATATATATATAATTATATAATATATATATATAATATATATATTATTATATAATTATATATAGGGATCAGGAGCTTTATGACCCGACCCACCCGCACCCGACATGACTCATATTTTTGAGGCATCCAACCCGCCCCAAACTGTGGGTTGACCGCGGCTTTCGGGCCGACCCGCGCATCACTACCCCTTAGGTAACACGTTGCCATAGATACACAGGGCCGATGGAAACACTCTCAAACCGAGTCGAGGTGTGCCGAGTCGAGTTGAGGCGAGTAGTGTCGGGCCCGTGGAAACAGCCCTTAAGTATAGGATCATATTAACAACATGTGTCAGACTGTACTATGAACATGATGAGTGTCTTAGTGATCTCACATCACGCTACAGAAGTCACACTTACAGCCCCTACAGACACTACAGCCCCTACAGACACTACAGCCCCTACAGACACTACAGCCCCTACAGACACTACAGACCCTACAGCCCCTACAGGCACTACAGACACTACAGACACTACAGACACTACAGACACTACAGCCCCTACAGACACTACAGACACTACAGCCCCTACAGACACTACAGGCACTACAGCCCCTACAGACACTACAGGCACTACAGCCCCTACAGACACTACAGACATTACAGACACTACAGCCCCTACAGCCCCTACAGACACTACAGACACTACAGCCCCTACAGACACTACAGACACTACAGCCCCTACAGCCCCTACAGACACTACAGACACTACAGCCCCTACAGACACTACAGACACTACAGCCCCTACAGACCCTACAGCCCCTACAGGCACTACAGACACTACAGACACTACAGACCCTACAGCCCCTACAGGCACTACAGACACTACAGACACTACAGACACTACAGACCCTACAGGCACTACAGACACTACAGACACTACAGCCCCTACAGCCCCTACAGACCCTACAGCCCCTACAGGCACTACAGACCCTACAGACACTACAGACACTACAGACACTACAGGCACTACAGACACTACAGACACTACAGACACTACAGACACTACAGACCCTACAGACACTACAGCCCTACAGACACTACAGACCCTACAGCCCCTACAGGCACTACAGACACTACAGACACTACAGACACTACAGACACTACAGACCCTACAGACACTACAGCCCTACAGACACTACAGCCCCTACAGACCCTACAGCCCCTACAGACCCTACAGCCCCTACAGACACTACAGACACTACAGACACTACAGACACTACAGACCCTACAGACACTACAGCCCTACAGACACTACAGCCCCTACAGACCCTACAGCCCCTACAGACCCTACAGCCCCTACAGGCACTACAGACACTACAGACACTACAGACACTACAGACACTACAGACCCTACAGACACTACAGCCCTACAGACACTACAGCCCCTACAGCCCCTACAGCCCCTACAGACCCTACAGCCCCTACAGGCACTACAGACACTACAGACACTACAGACACTACAGCCCCTACAGACCCTACAGCCCCTACAGGCACTACAGACACTACAGACACTACAGACCCTACAGACACTACAGCCCTACAGACACTACAGACACTACAGCCCCTACAGACACTACAGACCCTACAGACACTACAGCCCTACAGACACTACAGACACTACAGCCCCTACAGCCCCTACAGGCACTACAGACACTACAGACACTACAGACACTACAGACACTACAGACACTACAGCCCCTACAGACACTACAGCCCCTACAGCCCCTACAGCCCCTACAGACACTACAGACACTACAGACACTACAGACACTACAGACACTACAGCCCCTACAGACACTACAGACACTACAGACACTACAGCCCCTACAGCCCCTACAGACACTACAGACACTACAGACACTACAGCCCCTACAGACACTACAGACACTACAGACACTACAGCCCCTACAGACACTACAGACACTACAGACACTACAGCCCCTACAGCCCCTACAGACCCTACAGACACTACAGCCCCTACAGCCCCTACAGACCCTACAGCCCCTACAGGCACTACAGACACTACAGACACTACAGACACTACAGACACTACAGCCCCTACAGCCCCTACAGACACTACAGACACTACAGACACTACAGCCCCTACAGCCCCTACAGACACTACAGCCCCTACAGACACTAAACCAAACACACACTAGCTCATACAAGCTTTGTGTGTGTTTGCAGCATTACAACATGTGTGTATTAACGTGTGTGTGTCCGTGTTTGCAGCATTACAACATGTGTGCATTAACGTGTGTGTGTCTGTGTTTGCAGCATTACAACATGTGTGTATTAACGTGTGTGTGTCTGTGTTTGCAGCATTACAACATGTGTGTGTTAACGTGTGTGTGTCTGTGTTTGCAGCATTACAACATGTGTGTGTCTGTGTTTGCAGCATTACAACATGTGTGTGTTAACGTGTGTGTGTCTGTGTTTGCAGCATTACAACATGGTGATGGCCGCCGCAGCCTCGGCCTCGTCGTCTGAGGAGCAGGAGCTGCTGTTGAGCCGTTTCCTGCCGTACACTTCTGCTCAGATGCTGCGGGAGGCGGGGTCCGGCAGCAGCTCTGTGGGCGTCGCCAACGGCAACAGCAGCAGCGGCTCCAGCTCGAGCTTGGTGTCGTCCAGCAGCCTCAGGGAGAGGGACAAAGAGGTGTCGGGGCTGTCGCGCTCCTCTGTGGAAGCAGCCGCTGCCGTCGCCGCCATTTACGGATCAATGTCAGACGTGATCTCTCTGGACTAGGACTGAACAAACTGTGTAAATATGAAGAGGAAGAATACAGATGTACAGAGAGAAAATCTATTTTCAATGGGACTTATGTAAATATACGTAGGACGCTCGCGCTCCTATGAGATTTTGTGGACACTGAAGACTTTTTCACACCTCCCCATGTGGCCCTATAATTATTCTACCTTTTCTACTCAGTTTTTACAGTTATGTTTCACTATTTCATGTCAATGGCATTATTTTATCATAGTCTAATCTGCACAGGGGTTGAAGGAGACGGAACATGCGTAGAATGTGAAGCCATGCGTCGCGGCGGACGCAAGCGATTAATTCTTATAATAATATCATTTGTGACTGATTCAACTTTTCTCGCGGCTCAGTCCTGACTATTAAATTATTGTTTTTCATATTTATGATACGAGTTTTGGGTAGATGCTATGTAACGCATTCCCTCTGCCTTAGACATATTATCCACTAGGTATGCAAAAGATTGTTATTATATTTTATTTCAAAGTGTGTGCATAAAGAAGCAAAACAACCACATGTTCTCTTCCTCAAAGCATTTGGCTGGAGCACCCTCAGTGTGAGACTCTGGAGCTCAGTGCGAGACTCTGGAGCTCAGTGCGAGACTCTGGAGCTCAGTGCGAGACTCTGGAGCTCAGTGCGAGACTCTGGAGCTCAGTGCGAGACTCTGGAGCTCAGTGTGAGACTCTGGAGCTCGTGGATCCAGAGGGAGCTGTAGCAGCTTTGTGCATGTGCAGACTGCATTTGTGATGCTAACGATGCTAACGGTGTCACAGTCGTTTTCCCGCTGCCTCCAAGAGAATAACAGACTTTCTGGACGTCGAACCCAAGCCATGTATTCAACACCACCTTTGCATTATTTCAGTTGTGCTTAAGATTTATTTATTTTCTATATATTTTCAGCATAATGTTTGATTTGTGAATACGCATTGTTGTCAATGTATGTGATTTCTTTTGTAATTATATTATTGATATTTAAAGATGTCTCCGTTACGTACCGTGCCCAGTTTGTTTGTTAGGAGTGAATGTCCAGCTTTCACCACCAGATCTCTGCCCATAAATGTATTGATCATTCATTCAGTGTTTGTATGAATATTAACAAAAGAAGTGTTTGTCAACGGGAAAAAGGGCGAAGGAACTAAACATTTCCTAACATTTTTGAGAAGCCACAACATGTATGAAACATTAGTTCTGTCGAAGTTAATTACGTCATATCTAATGCTTTCTCATTGATACACATTTCATTTCTGGCCATAGCTGCAGGTGTAAGCCAGATCCTGTCAAACCTCTAAAGCTAAACAGGACAGGGCCTGGTTAGTACTGTGATGGGAGACCTCTGGGAACAGCAGGTGCCACAGTGGGGCGGCTGTAAAGTGCCAAACTGTGGTTGTGTCCTTTGGCAAGACACTTCACCCACATTAGAATGTGTGTGTGTGTGTGAATGGTTGGTGGTGGTGGGAGCGGCTGATGGCACAGACTGGTTATAAAAAAAGAGACGTTGAGAATAATAAATATACAAATGTCACACGCACACACACACACACACACACACACACGCGCACACACACACATATAGAAAGGTGTAATGTGATACTGTGTCACATTCCAGGCAAAGCGAGAACATTCAGATGGTCCCTCTGCCCTCCAAATTGTGGAATGCAGATTTAAAACTGCGGTGCCTAACTTTAAACTTATATTTTTTTAAATGATGTAATTAAATCTGTGTAACTCTCTCAAAACAAATCGGTCCCACACATGTTTTCATACACATGTGTTTTTGTGCTGTGTCACTTCTTTAGATCAGCTTTTTCAAAGAAAAGTTAAAAAGACGACCCCCCCTCAGCCAATCAGCTCTCAGCCCTAATCATCAAATAGTGACTCACAGGGCTCTTTATTACAAGATAAGATCAGATAAGATATACTTTATTGATCTCACACAGGAGAAATGTACATGTCACATCTGGCAGGGATAGAATCACTCAAGAAAAAAAAAATGTGCAAATGTTTTATATTAAGATAAAGACATAGCATATTGTGGTCTGATTTGTTCACATTATTTTACTTTTAGTAGACTCTTTCTGTTCAAATTAAATGTATTGTTTATAGGAAAATCATTTATGAAAATACCATCATAAATGTAATGTGAACTGGGTTTTGTGGACAGTCGAACCGGGATTTTAACCATGTTTAATCAGTAGTAAGTTTCCTCAGATACAAATGTGGACCTAAACTTGCTTACGTCCAAATCCAGCAAAAACACCTCCTTCCTTACTTATCCTTATCCTTCCTTTCTTCTCGTTTATATTAACCATTGTGGCAAACATTTAAGCCTAAAAAGCAGCTGTTAATTTGTTATTTTATCTATACCAACGATAAAGCTACCTTGGCTCATAAAAAGTATGTCTTTAAAGAAATAGGAAGTACAAAAAGGGAGGTAATTATGCTGATTTCGGACTCGTCTTTTGTTTTGTTTTTTCCCCCCCGAAGGCTGAGGTTCTGTGTCGCGTCGTGCTTACGTCAGCGCCTCGGCGATGACGTATATAGTGAGCGGCGCCGTTTCAGACTGTAATGGGAGCTGGCGATTTTTTCATTATTTTGATAGTGTAATCTGTGAATGGCGCCGAAACAGGACCCGAAACCTAAATTTCAAGAAGGTAATTTTACAACCTTTTCGAAAAAACGTCCGGAGCGCGCGCCAGGCCGCCCTCCTGTGATCTACCGCCTGCACGAGCGCCTGGTCCGCCATTGATGAAGCCGAGAGCCCCTCAGCTTATTGTCTCTTTGTGCACCAAACCAACGCTTTTGCCCATAGCTTTTATAATCTCCTCTAAAATCCTGCTTCATTTTTATATTTTTAGCCAGTTTCTAGTCCCCGCAGGAAGTTCTCTGTTGTCTGTTGTGTAGTGACAGCTAGCTTCCCTCTCATTTGTTATGCATTATTTACCTATGCATGCTAATCAGGGGCTACACGGGCGACTGGGGAGGAAGACCTGCGTCTCTGAGCGGGTTTTTGTGTTCATTTATGTGGATAATGACGCTGCGATGCTGAGGTTTGCTTTGATCCAGTGAAAATCTTCTCTTTTTAGGTGAAAGAGTGCTGTGTTTTCATGGGCCATTGCTCTACGAAGCTAAGGTAGGCTATTGTCCTCCGTGCGTGATGCGTGACGCTGCCTCAGTCACGCACATGTCTTTATAAGTCACTGCTGTGCGTGGGTGTGCTAAGGTTTAAGCCTCGGGTTCATTCGGAAATTAATGGAAATGGCACGGTGGCTGAGTGGATAGCACTCTCGCCTCTCAGCAAGAAGGTCCTGGGTTCGAATCCCGGTCGGACCAGGGCCTTTCTGAGTGGAGTTTGCATGTTCTCCCCGTGTCTGCGTAGGTTTCCTCCGGGTACTCCGGTTTCCCCTACCACTCAAAATATGTCCAATAGTTGTAGCATGTGCCTCCTGTACTGGCCCCGCTCCCATCTCTGTGTGGAGTGAGAGATAAATGCCCAAAATTAACAATTGTAAACTGCTTTGAGACTCAGATCTGCAGTGAAAAGGCGGTATATAAATAAAAACTTATTTACTTACTACATAAAACATGTAAACATGACGCATACAATAATGTAAAAGCCGTTTTTAGTTATTCAGAATATTCTATTTGTTTTGAAACACTAATCTCTCATTTACATTTGCATATATTTAAATTACTTACTGAAATAAACGTATCTTATTTAGACGTCTTGGTTTTACTATTCACGTTTTTACAACTGTTTAAAATGATTTACACACAGAATTCTCACATTGTTTAAATTTACAACACACCCATCTTTACGTCACATTCATGATTCATGCAAGCCACGTTTATTTGTATAGCGCAGTTCATACACAAGGCAACTCAAAATGCTCAAAGTAGAAGCAATCACACAAGGCATTAAAATCATAAATAATCTCAGTGCATTAAAAATAATAAATATAAAACGAAGTAAAAATGCATTCTCATAATGGTTCATCAAACACTCAGTTCTAAATAGTTTATTAGAGAAGTTTTGGCTCAGATTATTACATGGTTATAAAGTCTTATCTGTGGGTTATTGTTTACAACCATCAATCCAGTCTTTTACTTCCGCTTTATCCATTACCGTGTGTTCAGCTTCCCCCCTCTCCTTTTTGAAGTACTGTCTGTGTTTTACTCTCTCCATTCTTAAAACCTCTGTATGTTCGAGATATACTACAAACCAAACCAAGTCAATTCAAAATGATAATCTCTCTGACGTTTTTAGCCCATTCTTTCTATTTGTTTATTTGACAGAGACGGTGTACATTAATGAACATTACTGCCACAGGGATATTGTTATCCGTTGTCCTTAGACAGATTTAAAATGGCCTAAAAGCAAACGCATACAAACACTTACAAACATAATATCATTAAAAGTTAAACCATAATTTCAGACTGGTTTTGAACAGATTGTGTAATGTTTCTGGTCTCTCTAATGGCTTCTCTCTTTGCAGTGTGTGAAAATCAACGTGAAGGAAAAGCAGATCAAATATTTTATTCATTACAGCGGTTGGAACAAAAAGTAGGCACAGTTTCACACATATATATCACTTGGCTAAGATTTTACTGTCTGTAGTTTTTCACCGGTTTTGTCTGTCGCTGCAGCTGGGACGAATGGGTTCCTGAAAGCCGTGTTCTGAAGTATGTGGACAGTAACCTGCAAAAACAAAAAGAGCTTCAGAGGGCTAATCAGTGAGTATGCTAGCAGCTAACTCAGAAACCAGGGACACGCTGCTTCAACACTTCCTTGTTTCTTCTTCTTCTTCTGCAGAGACCATTATGTAGAAGGAAGAATGAGGGGAGCTGCACCAAATAAGAAAATCCCTGCCCCACCGCAGAAAAATGAAGTGTGAGTTTTAAATGTTTTGTACGTGTTGGATATAGATCTGTCTCTTCTGTTTTATAACAACTTTAATGTTTACTTTGTAGGAAAACCAAAAAGAACAAACAGAAAAGTAAGTGTTTTACTCTCGTCTCAGCAAAGGACACAGATCTCTGTCGTACAAAGTCCTGCTTAGCTTCAGAGGTCTGACAGATCTGGCTTTCACCTGCAGGTGGCGCCACATCCTGGTAAAAACCTTGCATAGAAACCTGTTTGATGATAATTCACACATTTTCTCTCAAATATACAAATAAATCACATTTATTTTGAACAATTTTTCTGGATAGGTTTGTGAGCATCAACTTTTATTTGTATAGGGCCTTTCCTACACAAGGCAACTCAAAGCGCCTCACAACCCACATCATATCAAGCCAATCATAAACATTAAAATCAACATTTACATATAAAAAAAACGAAAAAAACAATTTAAAACAGAGTAAAATCACAAGTTATTAAAATCCTTAAAACATTAAAAACAGACGGGATTAAAAGAATAAATAGCCACAACAGACCCATAGATCCCGTCTCTGTGGCTTCGTGCTCCTTTGAAAGCGAAGAATAAATAATATTAACGTGTGTTTGTTCAGCGCCAGGAGCCGGAGAAGGAACCAGCTCCGGAGGCGACGCCACTCACCCGCCACGAAAGAAGAGGGCGCGCGTCGACCCCACCGTGGAGAGCGTGCGTCACTTTTTAAACTCTACATTAGACCTGATGCAGCCAGAGTCACACTGTAGCAGCTTTAAGATAGACTTTATAGATCTCACACTGGAGATATTTACATAGAATCACTCAGATTTTTGCAAAAGACAATAAATTGGCAATAAATGAAAAAGTGGCAATAGCAGTGCAAGTAATTTTCAGTCCTAGTGCTGTAGTGACTTATCGTACAGTCTGACAGCGGTGGTTATAAAGTCCCACCAGAAAAGAGGAGGTTGTAGCAGAAAATGTTGCCTCTTGATTCCATAAACTGCTTTGATTCATTCATAACATGTTCTAAACTTTTATACATGGTAAGTATTTATTTCATAACAGAAAACAAGATACAGAAGTATCTAGTATAGTAGTAAGTTTGTTTTTCCCCAAATAAGTCATATTTTGTGAACAGGTCAGACCGCATTAGAAAACATGTTATATATATTTTGTATAGAGATCCCTGTGAGAGCTGATTGGCTGAGAGCTGATTGGCTGAGGGCTGATTGGCTGAGAGATGATTGGCTGTGTGCTGATTGGCTGAGAGCTGATTGGCTGAGTGCTGATTGGCTGAGTGCTGATTGGCTGAGTGCTGATTGGCTGAGAGATGATTGGCTGAGAGCTGATTGGCTGAGAGCTGATTGGCTGTGAGCTGATTGGCTGTGTGCTGATTGGCTGAGAGCTGATTGGCTGATACAGGGTTGTCCTCACTGTGTCACTTTTCTGTCTGAAAAAGCCGATCTAAGGCAGTGACCGAGGCCCAAGGTTCAAAGTGACATTATTTGTACCTGTGAGTAGATTATTGCAGTTAGAACGATAAACCTGGAATCTACACAAAAAATATCATAAAACCACATGATCTATGAACACACAAACAATAAAACCACAACAGATAAGAAAATAAGGAAAAGGACGCACGACAACAGTGATAGCAGCAACTCTCTGGTTTATTATATAGTTAAACATATAGTGTGAAAGTTAGGTGCCTTAGCTTTAAATTTAACCCTGTTTTTCTGCTTAAAGTGAACGACAGATGTTTTTACAGGAGGAGACTTTTATAAACCGCGTTGAGGTAAAAGTGAAGATTCCAGAAGAACTGAAGCCGTGGCTCGTGGACGACTGGGACCTGATCACTCGCCAGAAACAGGTCAATAATGAAATAATAAAATACTCAGAGTTTATTAATAATCAATAATTAAATAAAGAAGAGGAAGTTAAAACGGTCTCAGATGCAGTCAAAGTCACATTTTATGCTTTTACTGGATTTTTCTGATGTCGTGTGAGACGTGGATAACACACAGCTATAGAAATGTTTATTTATTTATTTTTTGTTCATCCATTTTCTTCCGCTTCATCCGTTGCCTGGTGGCGGGGGCAGCAGTCCGAGCAGAGATGCCAAGACTTCCCTGGCCACACATATTTATTATTATTATTTTAGATTAGAATACAAAATCTAGGATCAACTATGAGCCTCCTGATTGGACGAACACGGTCTAGGACAGTGGTGGGCAAATCCCGGCCCGTGGGCCAGATGCGGCCCTTTGGATGCTTCTATCAGGCCCCTGAGCCCTCCTCAATTTCTATAGATTAAGATTAAGATCAAGAGAGATTAGGATTAAGAACCTTTGTTCATCCCACAGTGGGGTAATTTCAGTTTAAACATCATACAATCCCCCTCTGTGCTGTGTGCAGAACTATTTTTTCATATAAACCATATATTTCTGTTTTAAAATTAAGCCTGAGAAAACATTGAAATATCAGACGGCTGTCGGGATCTGGACCTAATTTCCAATGTGGCCCTCAGAAGGAACAGTTTGCTCATGTCTGGTCTAGGATCAACTATGAGCCTCCTGATTGGACGAACACAGTCTGTGATCAACTATGAGCCTCCTGATTGGACGAACACAGTCTATGATCAACTATGAGCCTCCTGATTGGACGAACACAGTCTAGGACCAACTATGAGCCTCCTGATTGGACGAACACGGTCTAGGATCAACCATTAACCTATATTTTTAGTGTCTGTATTTTTTTTTGCTTTGTTATAACTATTGTTTTATACTTTATTTTTATTATTATTGGCACAAACGGGAAAAAGGAAACAGAAAGTAAATGTTGTCTTGTGTCTGTTTTGTGTAACATGAAAGAAACTGAAGACGTCTGTTCTTTTCTTTCAGCTTTTTCATCTTCCAGCGAAAAAAAATGTGGACGCTGTTCTAGAAGATTATGCAAACTACAAGAAGTCGAGAGGAAACACCGACAGCAAGTACTGAGACCAGAGGGAGACCAGAGGGAGACCAGAGGGAGACCAGAGGGAGACCAGAGGGAGACCAGAGGGCGACCAGAGGGAGACCAGAGGGAGACCAGAGGGAGACCAGAGGGAGACCAGAGGGAGACCAGAGAGGGAGACCAGAGAGGGAAACCAGAGAGAGAAACCAGAGAGGGAGACCAGAGAGGGAGACCAGAGAGGGAGACCAGAGAGGGAGACCAGAGAGGGAGACCAGAGAGGGAGACCAGAGAGGGAGACCAGAGAGGGAGACCAGAGAGGGAGACCCCAGAGGGAGTGAGACCAGAGAGAGTTGTGTTGCTAAATCCTCTGTGTGTGTGTGTGTTGCTAAATCCTCTGTGGTTGTGTGTCTCAGGGAGTTTGCGGTGAACGAGGTGGTGGCTGGGATCCGTGAATACTTTAACGTGATGTTGGGGACGCAGCTGTTGTATAAGTTCGAGCGGCCGCAGTACGCAGACGTTTTGGCGAATCACCCGGACACCGCCATGTCGCAGATCTACGGAGCACCGCACCTACTCAGACTCTTCGGTAACGCCTCCTGATTGGACCAACACATTCTAGAATCTACTGTGAGCCTCCTGATTGGACCAACACAATCTAGAATCTACTATGAGCCTCCTGATTGGACCAACACATTCTAGAATCTACTGTGAGCCTCCTGATTGGACCAACACATTCTAGAATATGCTATGAGCCTCCTGATTGGACCAACACATTCTAGAATCTACTGTGAGCCTCCTGATTGGACCAACACATTCTAGAATTTACTTTTAGATTCTGAAATTCTGGATTAATAAAGATCAAGAGATTATTTTAGTGTCAAAGCAGTAAAAGCCTTTTGTTTTCAAACCATAATTCATTAAATAAATGCAACTTGCTTCAGATGGAGTGACGTGTTCCGGCCAGCAGGGGGCACTGGACAGTCACAGTTTACTCCATCCATCCATTTTAACGCTGGTGTTTATACGATCTTGAAAGATATAAAGTTGCCACATTGTTTAGAATGAGTCTGGTCTGTGTGTGGAGGGGCCGATGGCACAGAATGGTTGCCTCGCTTCTGTCAGTGTGCCCCAGGGCAGATGTGGCTACAGTAGTAGTTTATCACCACATGACTTTGAGAGTTAAAAAAGCGCTCTATAAATCCATTGCATTATTATTGTTAAAATATGCTAGTATGATTTTTATATTATTCAAAAACATCTTCGAGTTTTTACCCCTGTTACACTGTTCTTTCATTATACTGTTGTGTTTGTGGCAGTGAGGATCGGGGCCATGCTAGCTTACACGCCGCTGGACGAGAAGAGCCTGGCGCTGCTGCTCAGTTACCTCCAGGACTTTCTCAAGTCAGTTCTTTGGTCTCTCTCTCTCTCTCTGTTTCTCTCTCTGTCTCTGTCTCCCTCTCTTTCTCGCTCTCTCTGTCTCCCTCTCTTTCTCGCTCTCTCTGTCTCCCTCTCTATCTCTCTCCCTCTCGGTCTCGTCCTGATCGTCCTGTGTGTTTCAGATATTTGGTGAAGAACTCAGCTTCACTCTTTAATGCCAGTGACTACGAGGTGGCGCCCCCTGAGTACCACCGCAAGGCTGTGTGAGACCAGGAGAGACCTCCGGGACCTCGTGTGAGAGACCTCGTGTGAGAGACCTCGTGTGAGAGACCTCGTGTGAGAGACCTCGTGTGAGAGACCTCGTGTGAGAGACCTCGTGTGAGAGACCTCGTGTGAGAGACCTCGTGTGGGTTCTCTCTCGACACATTGGATCATGGAGGAATCGTTAAAAAACCACACTTTCTTTGACTAATATCATTTTCTTTCATGTGGAAAGCAGTTGGATTTGCACTTTCTGTGTGATGTTTTTTGAGTACCACTTTTTAGTTACAATTGTTTTGACCAACGTTTCGACTAAATTGACCCATGTTCATCAACATTTTCTAGTAAAAGTATTTTTTTTCTCAATTGTCTGTTTTTCATTTGTTTTTTTGACTAAGAAATGTCAGTGTTGCATCACAAGATACAGAGCAGTAGGAACGAGGAGCACACAGCGAGAGAAATGAATATGAAGTCAAGTCCTCATTCATCTCTGATCTGTTAAATCCTTCTTTAACTTAACAGTCGTTCAGAGATATTTGAATTTCTAAATTACTTTTCCAGTCTCTAAATCTTGTTATTGTTTTCATTTCGATGTCCCGCCCTCCACCGTTTCACTAATCAGAAAGTCTGTGATCCTGGCGCCAGAACTCACCGCGTGGAGCTAATCTCACTGGTAAAGTACCATGTGGCGCTAATCTCACTGGTAAAGTACCATGTGGCGCAGAACTAAAAAAGGATTTCTATCTGGGCCTTAGAAAGATGGAGACAATTGAAGGAGGATAAGAACTGAAGCATTGATGTTTTATAATTACTTGTAATAAATGAAAATGGACTTTCTGTATCTAAACTATATTGTCCATTACGGTCTAGCAACTATGTTCACGCAACGAATACTTAGCATGCTAGCCCAGTCAATGGGAGCTAACATGCTAACGTTAGCTTTATGTGAACTAGTAATTGAACTGAAAGGACAACATACTTTTTCAACATTTGTAGATGTGGGTTTGTGTCAGTGCCTGGTTCACAATATGTTGATACGTTTAAGAAACATGTTCCAACATCAGCACAGTCCTGGCCTGGCCTTATCCATCAATCAACTTTTATTTGTAGAGCGCCTTTCCTCCACACGGCAACACAAGGCGCCTCACAACAATCACATCATGCATAAATCCTAGACATTAAAATCCACATAAACATTAAAAATACAAATCACACATGGGATTAAAATCATAAATTGCCATAGTGCACCTAAAAATAAAATCATTCAGTTGTATGCACAGCTAAACAGAACCGAGACTTAAAGATTGCAACAGAAGTCGCCTGTCTCACATTTTAAGGAAGACTGTTCCAAATCATAGCCGCACAAATCTGAAAAGCTACCTCCCCATGTGTAGAGTTTTCCAGCTTTAAGACAAACTTAAATGAACCACAAAAGATATGAAATATAAAGTATCTGTTCAAAGATCGTGGAGCACAGATGTGAACACGACACATGTCTCTGTTTGACACTTTCATTCATTCATGTATTCATATTTACTCAGCAGTAGGACGTGTATAACTGAACACGGACTGTATTTATTCATACGTTTTGGTCCAAACCGCACATTTCTGCAGAATATAAACACTTGAAAAGTCCATCTGGAAGTGGGTGGGTGGGTGTGTGTGTGGGGGGGGGGGAGGTTGTCTGTCTGTCTGTGTGTGTGTGTTTGTTTTTGTGTGCGTGTGTGTGTGTGTGTGTGTGTGTGTGTGCCGTGGTCACTGATCCTGCCGCTTCAGAGAGGCCGCTCTGCTCAAAGAATCCACCAAATGTAAACAGAAGAGGACTGGAGGCCATATGTGTGTGTCTGTGTGTGTGTGTGTGTGTGTGTGCGTGTGTGTCTGTGTGTGTGTGTGTGTGTGTGTGTGTGTGTGTGTCTGTGTGTGTCTGTGTGTGTCTGTGTGTGTGTGTGTGTGTCTGTGTGTGTGTGTGCGTCTGTGTGTGCGTGTGTGTCTGTGTGTGTGTGTGTTCTGTGTGCGTGTGTGTCTGTGTGTGTGTGTCTGTGTGTGTGTCTGTGTTTGTGCGTGTGTGTCTGTGTGTGTGTCTGTGTTTGTGCGTGTGTGTCTGTGTGTGTGTGTGTCTGTGTGTGCGCCTGTTAAAATAGCGCCTTGATCATAGAGAAATGCATTTTAAATGACTGTAATTAATACCAGCGGCTACAGTCATAGAAAAATAAGCAGAGCTGGGTGTAATTCTGCCAGGCCACCGGCAGAGGGCAGCAGTCACCATGGGAAAACTGCACAAGAACATTGAGGACCAGTGAGAAAGTATGTAGGGAATCTCAGTGCATGAGTTAAAACACGTTACACCTTATTAGTTCTTCAATTCAATGTATTTGTACATTTCCCTAAATCTCTGTGTTTGACCAATTCTTTAGAGATATTAAACCAATCTGCTGCTAAACACTTACTATGACCATGGATTAGCAGTGCTTCTATTTCAGACTCTAATGTGACTTAAACTAGATGAGATAAAAACTTCAGAGTCATATTTTCATTAAACCTGGATGTTTTCTTTGGCTCCAAACCCTGTTATTGTTACATCATGAAAGACTTGATCTGAGTCCAGTTTTCAAACCCAGACATAACAGAACCGTCTGAACATAATCCTGATTCAGAGTCGCCAGAGAACTCCAGGACTGAAGCTGTAGACCCAGGACTGAGGCTGTAGACCCAAGACTGAGGCTGTAGATCCAGGACTGAGGCTGTAGACCCAGGACTGAAGCTGTAGACCCAGGACTGAGGCTGTAGATCCAGGACTGAGGCTGTAGACCCAGGACTGAGGCTGTAGATCCAGGACTGAGGCTGTAGACCCAGGACTGAAGCTGTAGACCCAGGTCTGAGGCTGTAGACCCAGGACTGAGGCTGTAAACCCAAGACTGAGGCTGTAGATCCAGGACTGAGGCTGTAGACCCAGGACTGAGGCTGTAGACCCAGGACTGAGGCTGTAGACCCAGGACTGAGGCTGTAGACCCAGGAAAAGATGTATTTGTTTGGAGCATTGACCCCGGCAGTGACACTTGCAGAGTGGAGATCATTTGCCGCTGAAGATGCTCTCCTGCTGCCTCCTGCTGCCTCCTGCTGCCTCCTGCTGCCTCCTGCTGCTGCTGCCTCCTGCTGCCTCCTGCTGTCTCCTGCTGCCTCCTGCTGCCTCCTGCTGCCTCCTGCTGCCTCCTGCTGCCTCCTGCTGCCTCCTGCTGTCTCCTGCTGCCTCCTGCTGCCTCCTGCTGCCTCCTGCTGCCTCCTGCTGCCTCCTGCTGTCTCCTGCTGTCTCCTGCTGCCTCCTGCTGCCTCCTGCTGCCTCCTGCTGTCTCCTGCTGCTGCTGCCTCCTGCTGCCTCCTGCTGTCTCCTGCTGCCTCCTGCTGCCTCCTGCTGCCTCCTGCTGCCTCCTGCTGCCTCCTGCTGCCTCCTGCTGCCTCCTGCTGTCTCCTGCTGCCTCCTGCTGCCTCCTGCTGTCTCCTGCTGCCTCCTGCTGTCTCCTAATGACACCTTGAGTCTAATTATACCTGTCTCCTGCTGCAGACGTATCATCATCATCCTGCTCCTGGTTTAACACTCACTTATTTGTCAACTCAGTCTTAATAAAACAGAGACACACACACACTCTCACACACACACACACACAGGCACACTCTTACACACACACACACAGGCACACTCTTACACACACACACACACAGGCACACTCTTACACACACACACACAGGCACACTCTCACACACACACACACACACACACACACACACACACACGCATACACACTCTCACACACACACTCTTACACACACACACACACACACAGGCACACTCTTACCCACACACAGGCACACACTCTTACACACACACACACACACACACACAGGCACACTCTTACACACACACACACACACACAGGCACACACTCTTACACACACACACATAGAGACACACACACACACACACACACACACTCTGCTGTCATTGGGAGTGAGATAAACAGTAATGTAGCCAAAGGTGAGTGACGTTTTTATCCGAGCTCAGGATGAAGTGAGTGTGGAGGACTTTGGCAGGAGGCCACTTACGGCGCTCTCCCGAGTCCCTCCCGAGTCTCTCCGAGGGCCCTCCCGAGTCTCTCCGAGGGCCCTCCCGAGTCCCTCCGAGGGCCCTCACCGCCGCCAGAGTCACAGCAAACCACAATTACACAAATTAAAGAGGCTAAACGGCGCTAATCACTGCAGCACCTCTGAGCTCATCAAGAGCTGCTGCTAATGCTTTTTCTCTCACTTCACTTTAATTATCTACAGCCGCAGCCACAGCTACAGCCACAGCTACTGCTACAGCTACTGCTACAGCTACTGCTACAGCCACAGCTACTGCTACAGCTACTGCTACAGCTACTGCTACAGCTACTGCTACAGCCACAGCCACAGATACTGCTACAGCTACTGCTACAGCCACAGATACAGCCACAGCTACAGCCACAGCTACAGCCACAGCCACAGATATAGCCACAGCTACAGCCACAGCTACTGCTACAGCCACAGCTACAGCCACAGCTACTGCTACAGCCACAGCCACAGATACAGCCACAGCTACAGCCACAGCCACAGATATAGCCACAGCTACAGCCACAGCCACAGATATAGCCACAGCTACAGCCACAGCTACTGCTACAGCCACAGCTACAGCCACAGCTACTGCTACAGCCACAGCCACAGATACAGCCACAGCTACAGCCACAGCCACAGCTACTGCTACAGCTACTGCTACAGCCACAGCTACTGCTACAGCCGCAGCCACAGCTACAGCCACAGCTACTGCTACAGCTACTGCTACAGCCACAGCCACAGCTACTGCTACAGCCACAGCTACAGCCACAGCTACTGCTACAGCCACAGCTACTGCTACAGCCACAGCTACAGCCACAGCCACTGCTACAGCCACAGCTACAGCTACAACCACAGCTACTGCTACAGCCACAGCTACTGCT